GTGTGGGGGGAGGGGTGGGGGGTGTGGGTGTGCGTGTGTTTGTGTGTATGTATATGTGTCTATTTATGTTTTTATAAATTTATTCGAGATCCAGCAAGCTGAAAATAACGCACAGAAGAGTGCATATCTTATAGATTTATGAGTAGTTTGGCCACGTGCGATAATAGTGCTTTAACAAAATCGTGACGTCAGGCACGTTAAATAATGAAAAGAACTCAGATTCCACCGAACGCCTGAAACACCACAGTGCCTTCGTGGTCAAGTGGTTATGGCGTTCGCCATATGTACGCGGAAGGTCCCAGGTTCGATTCCCGGTGGAGGCTGAGTAATTTTCTTTCTTTTTCAGATTCCTTCTGTTACGTTTCAATTTATACAGCTTTCAAAGTTACTATTAAGGATGAGCCTAACTGTTTTATTATTAAAATTCATGGTACAAACATGTTTCATCAGTTCAACTGCCATCTTCGGTGTAAAAATGCTTATAAGCACTGGGAGTATTTATAAGATTGAACAAATGCAGTTAAATGTCATGGTAAGTAGGCGAACTGAGGCATATGAAAAAGGCATGAAGAAATACATAAGACCAAATGGTAGGCAGAGCATTCATGTTTAAGGAATTGAACAATGTCAGAAAAAAGGCATGAATAAAGATGAGATCAGAAGAATCAAAATGACAAAGTTAAATTTACATGTTGTACGGTAATTGTCTATTGGGAGGGCTGCTCCCACTGTATATGCAGTGGTTCTTTTGAAGGGGTATCAGCAGAACATATTATTTTGAAGCTGCTTCGTCCCCGACGAGAAAAATGTGGGCGTGGTCGGGCGTCGCTAAAAACCTTTCGAAAGTGGCCCAGGGGACGTAGCCCCTGAAAATATGACAATTTAAGGGTTTCAAAGGCTTATTAATTTAATCGATTTAGAGTCTATTACTATGTACAAAATACATACAATTTTTTTGAATTTTTTTTTCTTCCCGACGAATTGTGGTTTTCTCCCCGACCGGAGAAAGGGGGTGTAGCCCTGCCTAGGGGTCCCCCCACACCCAATGTCGGGGATCAGCAAATCCTGGCACCAACACTGCACGTACAGCGTAGGATGTATTTTTTTTTGTACGCCAAGTATTAGGCGCTTTTTATAAGGTGAGCGTAGAATTTCCTAGAAATAGACGAGTTATTTAAAATGAAAAAGCAGGTCAAAATCTATTGATCAGATATTCTATCTTCGGAAACGTGTGATTTGCAATATCTTAGGAGACCCAAACATGATTTTATCAGTTTACTTTGAAGCATTCCTAATTTAATAAGTAGGCCTAATGTGTTAGAGACTTTTCAGTAGGCCTAATTGACAGCCTTGTGAAAGAATTGGCGATGAATTGTATTCCAGACATGAGATTTACTATTAGTGAAAACCACTAGCTCTCTGTGACGGTTCGCAGGACCGCACCCAACACCAAGGTGCTCCGAAGGGCCCTTCCCATAGGGTCCTAAATCACCCATGGAGCTCCATGATCACCCTAACCCAAATTTCTTTGTTGATAGGTCCTACATATAACAGCATTTATGTGTCTCCACCATGGTGGGACAGAGGTGGTATTAGACACTCCACCTGTGAAAGTCCCTGCCCGGGCCTCTCTATTTCAAATTCCTTGATCCGTCACTGATAGCATATATCATTTTCGCCGTTAAAATCATCTAGAATACAATGACAAACATGATTAAAAAAGGAACACATCTAACATCCCATAATGGAATCGGCAACTAGGACCCAAAAAGGATCTCCGGTTTTAGAAAGTCACATCGTTACGCCAATCTTCATGAATAATCTTGTTATGTGGGATGGCATCAAATGCGCTTTGTAATCGGAGCGAAAAAGCATAAACAATATTTACACAATACGTTATGACATCATTTGTGGAAGGTGCCATGTCGGCAACCATACCACCAGGCACGAAACCACTGTCCATGGTCATGGTTATGGGTGTAACTATAGCGCACAGCGTTATCTGAGGGGGTGTCCCCTCCCCTCAAAACGAGATTTTTTTTTTAAATTGGGATTTCTAGATGGCCGGAAATGGTACCTGTCAGCCTTCGCAGGCTTAGCGTAGGCAGTACAGTACTGGGACAGGAAAACTAGGCCTATTTTTTTTATATTTATTTTGGTCCGACTGCCCGACGAGCTTTAATTGGCCGATTGGGGGGGGGGCCTTGACCAGATCGCTGGCACCCCTGCTCAACCCCACCAGTCGGGGAAGTAGTACAGATATAGCCGCCTGCATATGTCTACAGTATACATATTTTTCAAATATACCTAGACCTACTGAGGGGGTGTCCCCTCCCCCAAAACGAGATTTTTTTTTTAAATTGGGATTTCTAGATGGCCGGTAATGGTACCTGTCAGCCTTCGCAGGCTTAGCGTAGGCAGTACAGTACTGGGACAGGAAAACTAGGCCTATTTTTTTTATATTTATTTTGGTCCGACTGCCCGACGAGCTTTAATTGGCCGATTGGGGGGGGGGCCTTGACCAGATCGCTGGCACCCCTGCTCAACCCCACCAGTCGGGGAAGTAGTACAGATATAGCCGCCTGCATATGTCTACAGTATACATATTTTTCAAACATACCTGACCTTTGTAATCGGAGCGAACAAGCATAAACAATATTTACACAATACGTTATGACATCATTTGTGGAAGGTGCCATGTCGGCAACCATACCACCAGGCACGAAACCACTGTCCATGGTCAAGTTAAATGTCAGAGCAGTACTCGAGAATGCACAATTCAACAATTTTGGATATAACATATGTTCTCGTTGGGAAAATCACTCCCCCTCCACCCCAGGGCGGCTCTAGGATAAAATTTATGGGAGGCAAGATGTCCGACTGTGGGGGGGGGGGGGCGGCGCTAAGTAATTATGGGTGTAACTATAGCGCACAGCGTTATCTGAGGGCCTTAGGCCCGAGCCGGGTGTGGGTATGTGGGTATTTTTTTTTTTTTTTAGGAATTTCTAGATGGCCGGAAATGGTACCTGTCAGCCTTCGCAGGCTTAGCGTAGGCAGTACAGTACTGGGACAGGAAAACTAGGCCTATTTTTTTTATATTTATTTTGGTCCGACTGCCCGACGAGCTTTAATTGGCCGATTGTGGGGGGGGGGGGCTTGACCAGATCGCTGGCGCCCCTGCTCAACCCCACCAGTCGGGGAAGTAGTACAGATATAGCCGCCTGCATATGTCTACAGTATACATATTTTTCAAATATACCTAGACCTACACACTATCATGATCCTATAATACATGTAGGCCTACAATTTTAAAACGGAGGAGATAAGGAATTCTGCGAGGTCAGCAATAAATAGTGACGTGGCCACGACCTTTATATTGACAAAACTAGCTAGGCCTGGATATCATCTACAAACATAGGCTTACAAAAATTATAACTGCTGTATTGTACACAAATATCATTATTTTAAGAGCAGACCTACTTGATGAACCTGTTGCCACTACATTTAAATCGGATTGCTGATGATCACTCATTGCAATTCAGTTATGTTGCAATTGACAAATAAGCCTTTTTCACGAATCGGTAGACATCTTGAAGTGACGACAAACATTGCGAATCAGTGGTGCGTAACCAACAGAAATAAGATAAGCTTTTGGGCTGATTTTCTGACATCATGTTGTTTAAAAAATCATAACTCCATAACGGGGCGTCGTATCCAAAAAATGTTTCCAGGA